ACATACATATGAAAAACAAGTGTAATGTTAACAGAGATGCAATAGGTGGGATTAATATAAATTTATCATATGCATTAATTTCTGCAAAAGTTAAAACTAAGTTTTAGAGGGAAAAAAATATCATATTTTCAATTCTTCTTAGAAGGTAAAATTAAATTTTTCAAGCTCAAATAAAGTCATTGTTTTAGGCAACACTTGTTCTTAGGAACACTGTATCCTGTATTTAGAAGTGATGGTCTTTGTCAATAGAAGGCATGATGATCATGGTAGACTACATGTATATGTTACCCTTCGGTCTCTTTTTGCCTTCAAACTTCTCACAGTTTACATAGATCTATCATTTATAGCAATTTAACTTTTTTGCCAGAAGTTTTAGCATGATATGACCTTTTATGTTAATCCTGCTGGTGTAGCATCAGTTACGTCCCTTTAGTGGTTGCCAGACCTGTGCTGTGTTATATTAATCAATACATGTGGAGTCTATAAAGGCTGTAGTGATCCTAGCCAGGCAATTACTAGCAAGCCAGGCTTCTCTGTGCAAATTTACATTTAGTTAAAACCCAGAGCTCCAAGTTTCCACCAAACAAAGACATGAAAGAGAAACTGCTTTAGATTCTATATGTTTGTAGTCTGCCTTCATGTTTCATGTTTAGGGCCCCTACTTCTCATACATTTGCCATAAAGAATATTATGCAATGGTTGTAGTTGACAACTTATCTCAATGTGTCTATTTGAAATTGGGGTATTATTTTACTGTAGTCTATCCTTTCATTAGATAGGACCTTTCTGACAGAGCATGTTAAATGAAGTTTTTTTTAAAAATAATTTAACATTGGTTAATGACTAGCCTATTTTATTGCTGCCTTGGGTACATGATTATGATCATGTGTATTGATTATATAGTACGATTTATTTTGAGTATGAGGGTCTATAAATTTTTTTTTAAGCAGTATCTGTCTTAATAGCATCAAAGTAAACTCAGAGGTAACTAGTTTATTAAAGACATAGATTCACAAGCAGTTGTACTGAACTGTTTTGACCAAACAACTAGTTTTACAGTTTTGACTTCAATGTATGCTGTATTGTTTGAGTTGATATAGATGACAGTGTTAGGTAGAGAAGTGAGCCGAGTCTCTTTGTGTGATCGAGTGACACACCACACTTACTGACGTACACAGGAAGTACGTTATCCATTGAGGAGATTTGTCGGCCCTCTTCCTGGAGATCGGGATGAAGTCTCAATGAGTTTCTTAAACTGAGACAACAAAGCAAAGTGTCAGGAAGTGGACTGTTTTATCAAAGAGTTGGTCGCTCCGTGTGAAATATATTCCATTCTTATTCCTTAGGGTTAAATGCTTAATAATTCTGCAGTGCTGAAAATTATCACAAATTATCTGAAAATAGATAATAATTTTAGGAAATATTTTCTTAGTTAATCAGATTAGTAGATAAAATTGCATTGAAAACCTAAATACATGAAATACATTGAAAAGAAGAAGGTTAAAAATTGGCCCCTGGGTTTGTGTTATGTCTACATGTAACTGTAGGGGCAGGTTAATCTGTATGACTGAGGAGCAGAACATGTGTAGGGATAGCTAGGGGACATACTGTATACAGGAAGGCAGAATGCCACCATTGTAGACCAGAAATAGATTGATACAGCTACACATATGATTCCTATCTCTGTATGATAAAGTGAAGCCTCCCACAAAGTACCTAGATCCACCTTTGGATTGCTGATTGTTTGTGTAGTGTTATAGATATAAAGGTGCAGTCTGTATATGGAGAATTCTATAGAACTAGGTGGATGTGGAAAGATATTGATGCTATGTCAGAGACAGCAAGACTTAACAGGGTAGGGTATTTCTCCTTGTAAATGTGTACTGGTAAATTTTTCAAGTACAAAATATAGTATAGGGTACAGAAAAACACAGTGTGGAAAGGGAATGCCTTGTGGTCTTTGATAGGTACTTGATCATTGTGCTACATGTAGATGGGCTAGTCCTTGGACATTGTGATAATGTTTTAGAGATCCTTGTAGAGCCTGGAAACTTCTCACCTGTCCAAACAAAGGGGGGCTCAATGTTGAATCACTAATCTACAGCCTAACACAGGCCAGAAATACAGAATTTTAAATTCTACCTAGCAGAGTGTTTGAATTGTGATAGTCGATTATAGCTGCCTAAACCGCAAAAAAGCTTGTGGGATTCATGCAAGGAATATTTAGCCGTCTCCAGTTATAGGAGAGAGAGCGGGACTGTTTATCGTTTATCACAGTAAAATCCCATGTACCAACAAAGGGCTGGCCTATCTGTTGTTCAGCTCTGTCGAGATCCATGAATCATGAATGTGGAATTTAAAGTACGGTCTTTTTAAAAATAATAGCCCCCGCAGAAAGGAAATGATTGAAAAAGTATTCCAGATCTTAACTTTGAACAGTCTTCAAAATTAGTCATTATTTCTTTCAAAGCTTTTCTTTATTTGAGTACTTGTTTTAAGTTTCTTACTTTGAATGTGTTGAGGGCTGTTTTCATTGTTGTGGCAAACACATAAGTAACAAAGGGAAATTGGTTGGAGAGATATGGAATTAAGCATGAACAGATATATGCTGCATATTGAAATGCATGTAATACTGCTTCAGAATCTTTTTATATAAATTTGTTATGTTTTGTATAAAATTGAACAAAAAAAAAAAAATCTGCAATGTAATGTGCCTGCTGTTGATTGTGTGTGTGATAGAGAGAGAATATAATCCTTGATTTTGATATTGATTCCTGCACGTTTTTCAGAGTGAGAGCCCGAGCCGCAAAAGAAGGAAGACCTCCAACAGCTACATAGATTTGACCAATCATTCTCCCAGCCCCCCTCCTACCTGGTCCAGGGAGAGCACGGAGGCTGCCAGGTTAGGGGTCAGTCGTAGACGAGTGTCCAGTCAGCGACGCGTATCGGGCGACAGCAGAAGATCCGTGTCAGAGAGAAGCAATACTCCACGTGCACGACGCAGGTACTGTCAACTTTGTTATAATATTGCAACTCAAGCTTACATTGGCTACAATAGTTGCATAAAAAAATTCTTTAAAAGGCAAAATTTTCTAACATTTAATACTACGTCCTGATTGTGAGAACATGTAGAAATGTGATAAAGATTCAGCCAGCATTTGATCTTGGGGTGTGTGTTTTGCCTGTAGAGCTGTTTCATTAGTTGTCAGGGTTGGGTTGTTATGTGGATACCATGGTTTCTGGTGTTAGATTATCAAGTAGGATCCGAGCATAGAGAAGTGTTGATAATAGGCAAGTCTGCTAGATTGTGGGAAAAAATGCTTGCCAGCGTGCAGAGGTAAAGGAATCAATGAGGAATTGATTTTCTTTGTGTTTTGGGCGCGACTGTCAGGTTTGAGGGGTGAGGAGGGAAGAGGGGCATTGTAATGCCTGCCACGGTGAAGTGGTATTGTGTCCATAGTCCATACCTTTGTTTGTCACCTGTGCTTGCTTGACCATGTCAAATATTTGAAGGCTTGTAGCTCTCAGTATTGATTTGGTGTGAGGGACATTGATTTTCAGGGCTCTGTTTTCCTGAGTGGTACAGCACACAGAATCTCTCCGTGCCTGGTAGTTTTTTACTCTCCTAGGTTTACATGGTTAGCACGCTAATCTACTATCAGTTTTAATGTGACAGAGAATGAAGTCATTTATAACTAGAAACATAGCCTCCTTTCTTCAAATCATAATTACTCTGCAGTACTAATAAAAATTCAGCCGTACATGTCTATAACACTGGTAGGAATATGATAAATTACAATCTGAGGATTATTTGGTTTTCTATATAGGTCATACGTGTAGTTTATTATGCATGTGAAAATAGACAACATTTATGATAACATATTTTAAGGGTAGGGCTTTGTGTATGAAAACAACAACAGTGGTGTATAATTTATATGTTGACACTAGATCACATTCAGTAGAGGAAAAGGATTATGGTACATGTACTTAACTTAACGTACATGCTGTCGACAAAAGAATTATGGGGGCTGATTATTATTTCTAAATTTGAAAAAAAGAAATTGAATTTGGTCAGCACAAAATTTATTGTCCCATTTAAGATCTGAATATAGGTGAAATAAGTAAAATATGTGTCCATTTTGTAATACAGTGTACTGGTTATTTCTGTGAATTCCATGCTCTGAATGTCAATTCAGTCTGTTTAATCATTTCACTTAGAAATCAGTGCTAGAAATATTGATAAATCATTACCACATGAAAGACAGTCATTTCTAGACACTGAATATTTAGAAGAAGGTGAATCAAAGTGGTTATTTTTCCATGATGACAATTGAATTCTTAAAATTGAATAGCTAAATAACATTGTCAGAAAATGCTTTATTAATATGGGAATATATAATTGTCGGTGAGAGTTAAGCAGGAAATGGAGTCCCAAGTTAAACAAGTTCCATTTGTGCGAGTTTGAATTATTAACATTTCCGCCAACCTTTTGAAAAATGGTGCCATCTGTTTTGAGTTACACGGAGCCAGACCACTGTTTTACAATTTTTATCAGAGTTGTGTTGGTTCAGGTTTCAAGCTGGTTTAAACATATTTGCTAAATATACTAGCTGTTTTATTTAATCTGAGCAGAACAATTTCTTCTAAAAATTCAAGTCCCCTTTCTAATGATTAAGGTAAATTCACTATACATTGCTAAGATTTGCTACATAAGTTATTTTAAACTAATATATTTAAGTAAGAAACATAATAAACTGATAAATCTGTTCTCTCTTTGATAGTTTTATTTAAAATGTTTGTTTATCAGCATTAAAATCATAGTTAAAAAATATTTTTTTTAAAAACTATAAACAGTACTGTATAATAATGTTAGTGCATCATGACGTCACAGTTGTCAATTATGACATCAGCACCATTATGACATCATAGAAGAAATATTCACAGTTCTGTGACATAGTTTGGTGCTCAAAGGAGTGTTGCTATGTTTCCATGTTATTGTTGCTAGCTGATTTGTCAAAGGATAAGTAAAAACAGGCAGACAAGTTGGAATTTCATGGAGTCAGAAGAAGAGAATGAGGTGATGGCAGTCAGTGAACCAGAACTTTATGATTTTGCGTTTAGATGTGTAGTCCAGGCTGTGGTTCAGTCTATAGCGCAGTCAGCTGCTCCAAGGGCTGGTATTTTGTCTGGTGGCCAGTCAGGAGGTAGAGAGATGGACAGCCCTCAGAGAGCTTCTAATGATAGACAGACTGAACATCTTCATCTGTCGGCTGAATCACATGCCACAGGAAGAGATGAGATGACTGGCAGTCCTCAGTATAGACTTCACACTTCTACTGCGGGCGAGAATAGACATACTGATGATACTCGGAATGCATCCCTACATTCCATGACATTACCTACTGTTTTTCACTCAGATGTCTATGAACCTGGACAGATGGGGAGTGCACCTGCTAGGGTAGAATTTGAAAACCAGATTTATGATGTTCCTCCTAGAGGCTTATATGTTTCAAAATTTTTGAGACAGATATATCAAGGTGATGAAGGAATATTTAGTACTGAGCACCATACATATCCAGTTTCAAGGTCAAACCAAGGTCAATCTGACACAGACATGAGGATGTCAAGGTTAAGAAATCCTCAGAGAGATCCTGGATTTGAGGAAGATTTTGATGAAAGAAGGCATGTATCACAGCAGATGGATGGTCTCAGTTCTGAATGGCATGATCTAAGCAGAGACCAGTATGGAGACTTGGAGGGTAATGAAAATGGACACCAGTATAGCTTTAGAATGAGGGAAGGACCAAGAGAAATAGCAAGTAGAGAGAACAGACTAAAAAACAGAAGAAATAGATCAAATCAAATAACAGATCATAGTACAGTAGAAAATACAGAGGAAACAGGTCAGGTTAGACAGACTTACAGTAGACAAGAAAGGGACAGACTGGACGATAATAGGAGGAGACCAGACGAACTGAACAGAAGGAAAAGAAACAGACGAGTCAGTGTTAGACGTAGTCCAGCATTACAAAGTGGACAAGACAGAGGCCAAGAGACCAACAATAGCCAAAGTAGATCAGTACATTGTAGAAGTGAGAGAGACAGTCACATAAGACTGGGAGACAGACAGTTCAGTCATGGTCACAACAGACATAACAACGGGTCAGCCTCTGCTTTAGGGAGTCTCTATATTACAGACTCTGGTCAAAGTGAGGAACACCAGAGGAGTGTTCCTAATGTAACGGAGGGAGGGAGGAATGACCGGGAGGGCCATCGTCAGGTAGACTCTAACCCTGGACCCCTGGGAGGGAGGAATGACCGGGAGGCCCATCAGGTGGACTCTAACCCTGGACCCCTGGGAGAGAGGAATGACTGGGAGGCCCATCAGGTGGACTCTAACCCTGGACCTCTGGGAGGGAGGAATGACCGGGAGGCCCATCAGGTGGACTCTAACCCTGGACCTCTGGGAGGGAGGAATGACCGGGAGGCCCATCAGGTGGACTCTAACCCTGGACCCCTGGCCACGCTGTTCCTCCAGCTCCTACACCAGTTCTACCAGGAGGTCATGATGTGGATTTATGTAACGACAGTGTGGCACCCTGATCAGGGGAACCTTAGACACATGCTCAGAATCATCGCTAATATCATACAGGAGCCATATGTTTCCGTGACAACCAGCATGGTACAAGGCTTTATAATGGGGACCAGTATAAGTCATGCGGGCCATTTTCGGCTTTTGATTCAGATTTTGAATCCGCTTACTGCACATCACTCACTCTCCCCAACCCTGGCTTCCTTATTCAGGGTACAGAGCCTCATGTTCAGTATCAACCTAGCGCCGCGGCAGCTGCTTCATAGATTTTCTGACATCGTGAGGAATGCCATGATTGTCATGATACAGCAGCACAGTGCACGAATTATTGACCAACCAGGATGGTGATTAGATTTCTTCTTTCATCCAATTAAAATATCAGTTGCAGCATGGTACCAAAATTATAAAGCACATTATGAGGCAATCAATTTTTGTCTCTGTCTTATTTCAGTTTTTGTTGTAGTTTTAATGTGGTTTTGTTCAGTGGTTGTGTTTGTTTAGAAGAAATAAGATTTTTATAGAATATTTTCTGTAATAAACAGCATTTTGTTAAAGCAAAACTCCATAACTTTATGGCCAGTTTCATCGATCCAAATTTTAAGTTTTTCTTTTTTCATCAATTAAAATATATTCAATACCTGGGTAATCCATTTGATATCCATTTCGCATGAATATGTATGAAGTGTATAAATATGTATGTTCCACCTGTGACGGTTTGTGACAGGAAATCTTTCTGCCCTGGAGAGAGTCTCTATTTGACTAGCGATAATGTCGGGCTGTATGGAGCCTTTGTGATCTAGAAAGCTGTGTAGCTCTAGTCGGCCTCTCTGTTTACTTTTTGATTTCAGTCCCATGAACATCTTGGCTTGGTTTAGAGAAGAGAGTACAGGTGTGAAATATTAAACAGCTGGGGATTTAAAATGAAGGCCTTTTTTTCATTATGAGGATGCTAACTCTCTCTGCAGCTGCATTTTTTTTTTCATACAAAACTTAGCTTCCTAGAACATGATAGAAGTAAAGGGGAAAACACACACACAGAATAAATTATAGAGAATTTGTTAAGGACATCTCAAGGAAATAAAGTTGATGTCAAGAAGAAAGAGGATTTCATTCTTCCAAACAGCATTAAAACTTTGTTCTCATTAATAACACTGGATCTTGTTCACAATAAAAATTTTTTAAAAATGTAAATAGGAAATGTTTGATTATTTTTTGTAATTTTTCTGTTTTAGCCCAGGCACACGGAGGAGAACTCGTGACAGGAATAGTGGTCCACAGAATGAAATTGGCCCCGAGCCTAGGGCCTTTCAACCCCCACACCTGATGAATCCCCGCCAGATTCACCCCGCGTCTCTACATCCCCACCTCCATGGGGCACCACAACAAGTCATGTTTGACATGGAACAGGTAAAAATCTACTATAAGTATCATTTTTTTTTTATGATAATTCAGAAATGGCAGGTGTAAGGAGAGTAAGGGAGAGTCAGTTTGATTGTGCTGGAATCACAAGGAAGTTAGGGAGTCCAGGAGGAAATTAAATAGGGAATAAAAATCCTTAAGCAACACTTCCTGTTTAGTCAAGATTTAAGATTCAGTTTTCTGCCATATAAGAAAGAAGTCTGTGTTATGAATACAGAGACCACATGTGAATTTGCAGAAATTTAGGATACATTGACCAGCATTTGTTAGTGATATGGAAATTCTGTGTGTGGAAATTTAGGCATTTCTGCTTCTATTAGGGAGAGATTCTTTTGGACAAAAGATGCCAAGAACTTTACAATTTTACACTCATCATTTTGTTCCTGTGTTATTTGTATGTTACCCATTTTCAATCTTTGGCTTTTTTTTCTATTGTTTTTTTTATAGGATGCTCTTTGTTAATGTAGGATGGTAACCGTATGTGATAATTATTTCTTTGTATTGATTTATAAACAAAGAAATCATGTGGCATATTTCCTGAATTTTACCAATAGTTGGAACAGAAATATGAATGCGAAATATTAGACTTAGTGTCTGCAAGTGCAGAAGTTTGAAGCTTGAATCTTGATCTTAAGCTATAATCAACACTTCATAGTTTGATGCTAGGTGTTTGAAGACTCAGTCTCCCAAAGTCTCTATTGGATAATATCACCTAGTTTGATTTCAGTTATACTGGGATTTTCAGGTGTCTGTCTTGTCTTGTGATTGGGTAAAAGATTGAATGATAGCTCAATGGTCAAGTCATATATGTCAGTTCAATTACAATATAAAGTTATTTAATTAAGGAAGAAAACTATTTTTTGGACATGTACAACCATGACTATTTTCAGGTTCCTGTGAGCACACCGGTATCAATGACGCCATATGCAATCCCAGTGTGCACGGGACCTCATCTGCCAGTGTGCACCGGGGCCCACCACCCAGTCTGTAGCACGGCGCCCACGTGGTCCATCCCAGGCTGTGGTGTGCCCCTCCCGTCCTGTAATATGCAGCACATCCCCACATGTAGCCTGCCACAGATTCCATTTCATCCAGGCTCCATCCCACCTCTGTTCCATCATCACCCGGCCGCCAATCATATACCTCCACAACATCTAGCTCCACCCACTCATTTTAATCCAAGTGCTCGAGGGGTGAGTCTCTTTTTTGAATTTGTGCATTTTTTAGCTAAAAATTTAAAACCTGAATGAATTGTGACTTTTTTCCTTTTTCATTTTACAAGATTAATAAATATTTGATGAATGATTGTTATTTTTTTAGCACTCTGAGGAAGAAGTTACTGGTCTCCTTGACCAGCGATCCCGGTTTCCCCTTCACCCAGGGACATTACACCCTCACGGTGCAACGCCGTTTACTGCCTCTGCCCCGGTCATGCTGCAGGAGCCACATGTTCACCCGACACCTCATGATATTTATGTAAGAGCTCTATAAATAGAAACCTCTCATATCAACAAACCACAGATTTCATTCTGAACAGTAGATGAGAATTTCTAAAATGATTATTGGTCCTTAAAACACATTTGAATAGTAGAAAGACATGACACTGTTGTATTTTAGATATGAGTGAATTGCAATGACTAACAGTTATGGTTATTTTTCCAGGGTCCATTTCAGCGTCACTTTGCTCGTCAGCGTACCAGTGGAAGAAATGGTCGTCTCCGTTCACTCCCCCTTCCTCCTCCTCCTTACCCAGGATTCCTCTTACACTTCCTGTAAGTTACGACATTAACAAGGAAAACAATAACTAGAACAACATTAACTAGAGGAAAATAATAACTTAGGACAATATTAGCTAGAGGAAAATAATGTGTTTTTAATAACTGTATTAAACTTAAGAACTTGTATTACATTGACTCCATAACAGCCTTTAAAAAATTAGGTATTAGTAATTCCTTAAAAATTCTTTGTGTGGGCTTATTTTAAGAGAATATTAAGGGTTAGGTGTAAACTAGATGATTATAGTCAGACATTTTTATTGTAGGGCCATGTTGGGTAATCCTCCAATGCCCTATGGCAGAGACTTCCATGAAGACGCCACAGAAGTGGAAAATTACGAGGTAAGGGAGAGAAGTCAGATTATCTATTATTACTATCATACAGCTGTGTCCATTACACAACTCAACAGTCACAAGTGGGCAAATTTAAAGTGGGTGAATTCAAAGAACACAGTATAATTTCTTAAACAGAACTGTGACTGGGCGAATTTAAAACGGGGCAAAATTGTTAGCAAGTGTAAAAGGGCGAAAATAACATGGGGCGAAAATAACCCTGTATACAGTATCTACAAAGACAATTAAGAATCAAAAGTTTATTCATCCAGATTTTTGGAAATATTTTTTGTATTTTTGAATGACACATATTTACTGGTCCGTGTGATTTCAGGCATTGCTGAACTTGGCGGAGAGATTAGGAGAGGCCAAGCCAAAGGGTCTGACCAAACATGAGATTGAGCAGCTGCCCGCCTACAGGTTCAACAAAGAGAACCACCACTCTGATATGGACCAGACCTCCTGTGTCGTGTGCATGTGCGATTTTGAAAATAGACAATTATTACGGGTCCTGCCATGCAGTCATGAATTCCATGCCAAGTGTGTTGACAAGTGGCTGAAGGTAAATATTGTCCGAAGAAAAGGATTTTTTTTTTTACTATAGATGGATGCTTAATATTGAACTTACTTAAATGACTTCTAAACTTTATTTGTCATTTTGATACTTTTATAAAGACCAGATTTAATGCTTATAAAAATTATTGCTAAAAAGTAGAGCACAAAATGGGGAATGCCTATTATACCAATACTGTCAAAGTTTTTGTAAATTGATTATTGTTATAAAAATCAAGGCACTATACCTTTATAGTTTATTCATGTTGACAACATTTATTCCAGACAAACAGAACCTGCCCCATTTGCAGAGCGGATGCCACAGAAATAGCCAGCCAGTCAGACTGAAGAATCAAAGTCACAGCACAAAAGTGTTTCTTATTTATTGTACGGTCAAACTGGTTTTATTTCTAAAAAAAAAAAAACTGAAACAGATGTAGGAAAGCAAAAAAAAAAATGATTTGGTGCATATATTATTTGTTATTATTGAATGTTTCTTTTAATATTAGTATTAGATGCTTTGATATATATAAAAAATATATTATTTCACTTAATATTTGAGCGTACAGCTATACAATGCTTTTTTGTTTTTATCCACTATAAGAAGTATATCCCTGTTTTTTGTTGAGGTGAAAGGTTTTTTTCTTCCTTGCATAATGAACTGATGCGGTTGATTCAGGGATTCTTTTTTCTTATCATAAATATTATATGAAGCCAGTACCCATAGCCTATCATCTTTATTAATTGTGTACATTTATTGTTCATGTAAGTTTTTGGTCAGTAAAATGGTAAATGACAAAATTTATTTATGTACTGTAATACTTGAGTAGGCTTGTAAAGAAAAAAATCCATTGGCAACTTGCTTATGGAAGTCTAAATAAATAAAATATTCACTTAAAAACCAAAAATAATGCTTAAAAACAATCAGAAAATTAAAAAGTAGGAAGAAGATGGTTGTTTTGTTATGGCATCGAGCACTTCAAAAAGCTTACCTAATTTCTTCTTCTTTTTTTTTTTTTTTGACAATCAGCACCAACTTGAACTCAATATTTAAAGTAGTGCCTTTGCGTAAAAACAGTGTAGGCTCAAGAATCAAGATGTTTGTTTTGTTTGGGGGGAGGGGCTTTGTTTACGTGTCCGTGTGTTGTTGTGTACACATATTTGTACATGTATAACATTGGGTAGTGTTATCCACTTGTTCTGAAATTATATACAGATTTTAATGCAAAGTTTTCTTTTATTATCCAAGGGAACTAGAATTTAAGACCTTGTTAATATTTGTTACTTGTAATAAATTTATTATAATTCTTAGAACTAAAAAGAAGTATTTATTGCATTTTAGGCCAATTCAATTTAAAGAAAATTCAGTATTAAAGTGTTTATATGTATTTCTTTTGTTTAGAGCAATGCAAATTTATTGACAAGTTTTACTTTTGTCACAAAATTGAATTGGCCTTTATTCAGATTAATATATATTATAGGAATTTTTTTCTTGTTTTGTTTTCAACATTTTGTTTAACGTGAGCAGTCTTGCATTAAGAGATGTTTACAAGGGAGATAAATGAAAAACATGAAACAACATTTTAAGATCTGTTTTGTTACAATGAACCAGTGTAAAAATAGAACAGCAATCAAAATTATATACTGTCAGTAGTATTTACCTTGAATGATAAATCTACAACTTTTTAAACCCTAGACTTTAGCACTAATTTGGTACAATGTAACTATTTTTTTCCTTATTATTTTAATATGTATTAATTACAAACAAAGTACTGTGTTTCAGGGCTGCATTGTTTCAGCATTACTTAAACTGTATCCGTATTGAAAGAAAAATATCGATAACAAGTTTAAGATCATGTACATCCAGCTATATTTTATTAAGTTGTAACAATAAGTGGAACATACACAGCTGGCATGTCTAGGCACCTTGGTTTTTTTATACAGGGGGAAGGGTGTCCTAAATTGACTAATTTGTCATAACTGTAAGCAGATTTTTTGAATTCAGGGCATTTGAGCCAAAATGTACCAACTTTTTCCCCTTTCAAGTCTATAATGTTGCTGGAAATTAATGGCTTTATGTAACGCATATTATTTCCATGAACGGAGTGAGGTGATCAGCAGTTATGCCATTTAACCTACGCACAATAAGTATGCAACAAACATGTTCTGATTCCATTAGTTATTGAAATATTTATTAGAGAGGGTGATGTGATTTTCAATATTTGCAATTTATGGTAATTTGGTCACATACATGTACATAAAATTAATTAAAATATATGAGTATTAAATACATAGACCATGACATTCTTTGAAATTTTTTGAATATTTTGGCCTAGTTTATTGTAAGTTTTATTTTAACATTTGTTCTGCTTTTTGAAGTGGTTATTTGAAATGCCCATGCCCCCTATAATGTGAAATTTTACAAAGTGCCTTGATATTTCCGATTTTTTCCCCCGTCACCCATTTCTTTTGATCTGATAGCTGTACATTCAGAGCTAATTTTCCGTGATAGCCAAACAGTTCTACCTCTCTACAGATGTGACCTTGGTCGTGATTTGTCGCAAGTCGTGTTTTAACCCACACATTTTTGTTTGCCTTCATTTCTTAGCATAGTACTAATAAGCAGCCTTTTCCTTTCATTTTATCATTTCATTGTGAAGAAAGAGGAGTGGCATTTCTTCTTTTGTTATGGATGTTCCGTGACACATTGTAAAAGAATAATTTTCATATTTTGTCAAATATTTGTGTCATAATAATGGACCTTTTCAGATTTTTTTTTTTTCATGCAGTGCAAGTCAATCAAAACATAGAAGTTCACCCTGATATACTCTAGTAATAAATAGACTACACTGTATTATGCTGTAAAGCACAATAAAGAATGAAAATTATCAATATTTTGTTTGTTTTACTCAGAAGCTCCAGGAAAATAGAAAATGTGAATAAATCCAACTCATTTGATCCATATACATACAGCTGTGGTGGTCAGCCGAGTTCAAAGGCTGGTAACCAGATAGCTCAGTCGGTAGAGCATCTGACTAGAGATTCAGGGGGCCAAGGTTCGAATCCCAGTCTGGTCCAATGTATGTTTCTCCTCTCCCTTTACACAGTACAGATGTATGGTCAATATCTATGTATGTCTATGAGTGATAAAATGTTGAAATCCTGCAAGAGCCATAGCACATTGAAAGGTATTTTCATCTACATTGAAAGCAATATGTAACAAGTGGTAGAACAAAAAATATGTATTGTAACCAGTGGTTACTGAAAAAATAAATTAATGTGAAATTCCTTCAAAATGCTATACCTCCTACAGTTTTGTCTGATTTCAAAATAAATATAAAATTGATGCATTGTTTTTTTTTTTCTATTTGATTGGGTGTTGCTATGGTAACTAAACATAGAAATATGTTGAAATTCCTTCAAACCCCTGCTTTTCCTAATTTTGGTTTGATTTCAATATTACTTAGTGCACAAGTAGACTATAGACTAAGATTTAGTGCAATAGTTTTTGATGAACGGTGTTGCTATGGGTAACAAAAATAGAAATTTCTGTGAAATTTTTTGAAAAACCATATCTGCAACAGTGTTAATCTGATAGCAAGAAATCTTGCCACAAACAGACTTAACTAAGGACCATTATTCTATTTAATTAATGCTGATGCTCAGTTTCAAGTCAGGTGTTACTTTTCCTTTGTTATTAATACAAACCTGTAGAGTTACAGTCTCATCAGAGACTTCTGGTTTCATTTATTAAACAAATAAATGTCAGATATTCCTTTATGTGATAATTTAAAAATATCTACAGGTTTGTTTGGAATAAAATGGGGAAAACATCGAGGTATGTACCAAAACAATTATAAACTGCGTGTGTTGTCTATGACCCCTTGAGTCAGAAAAACAACATATGCAGCTTTACTTGGGTACAACAGCATTCCAATAATTAAAAATGATCTTTGATTTACTCCACCGCTGTTGATTCTTAGCTCTTTTTGTCAGAGACCAATGAGCTTTTGTGATATTAAGGTGTCTGTCATCCAGCCATCTGTGTGACTAGCTGTCTGTCTGTCTGTCCATCTGTAAACAATTTTTCAAAATGCTATCCCTCTACAGTTTTAGTCTAATTTCAATATAACATGGCACACAAGTAGACTACACTATATCACCGAGTCAAAAAATTTTGTGTTCGCATCTTTTCAAAATTTTGTTTGTGATATGATCCTTGATAATGAAAATTAAACTGGTCCTTGAAGGATGTTGCATAGGAATATTTATCATAAATAACATATGCATCTAATAATCTACATTTAGTGAACTTGTATCTGGGAAATATAGAGCAAAGTTCATCAATATGGAAAATCTATGGAAATACCCCATTTTTGTCTTTTCTTGATTACTTAATTCCCATTGGAAGAAGGCTTAGTAAGGCTCCTTATTTCTCCATTACCCAAAGCTGCTTAGTACCAATTTAGGTTTAATTAAGCTCAGTGGTTCTTGAGAAGAAGTTGAAAAGTATACAGAGGGACGGACAGACGGATAGATGGAGGGAAGCTAGACACCTGTCTCCGGGACCATAAAACTGAGATGAGCTCACTTTTGATCCAAGTCTCACTTTTTCGAAAGGGATTAATACATCTAGTGGAAATTGGAAAAGTGAGACTTAGATCAAAAGTTAGCTCATATCAATTTTATGGCTATGGAGCCTGGTGATCAGAAAAGCTCACTTGAGCTATCAGCTCAGTTTTTTGTTTTCAAGTACAAGTTGAATGTGGTCTCATGTGCCACTTGTACTTGAAAACTAATAGAACTAGATGTGTTTGTAAATCACAGATGCCTCATATGACAGCTTACAGTGAAGGTTGTAGTTTCTCAAATGCAAGTCAACTCAAAGGTCAAGGTCAAAATGTTGGTATCCAAATAATCTTGTCATAATGAATGAACCTATGAAATATGAAAGTACTAGTACTAACTATTCAAAAGTTATGACCAAGGTCAAAGGTTTTAAAAAGTGGATAAAACTCTAAGGTCAAGGTCAAAAGTATTTCTACCCATTGAAAGGTCTTGCCACAATGAAAATACATGTTTGAAATATGAAAGCCCTAGTACAAACCATTTTGAAGTTACAGCCAAGATTTTGGTTGTTTGTCTTTTTTTTTTCGTAAAAATTTGTTAAACTTCAACATCAAGTCAACTTTGGTGGACGACCCAAAGAAAGGTTTTGTCACAAGGAAAACACATGTGAAATCTGAAAGCCACAGCCACATTCACTAAAAATTATAGGTATTAAAGTTCAAGTTTTTGAGAGACAAGCAGGGCAAAAACTTTAGACCCCCTGAATCTTCAGTTATGGTGAAATAAAAATATGAATTACTCTTCAATTATACATGTATAATCATTACATTTATCATTAATTTTGAAAACATAGAGCTCTATTTTCATATCCACAAAAAGATGTTTTCATAAATCACTGATGTCCCTGTATGGCAGCTTTTCGCAAAGGTAAAATGTTTCTCGAATGCAAGTTAAATTCCAAGTTCAAGGTCGTGAGATGAAAAGATACTGTTACCCAAAGAAAGATTTGATTCATTGAATGTACCTGTGAAAATATGAAAGCCCAGGCACCAACTATTCAAAAGTTATGAAAATGTTTTCAAAATTAAAGGCGTACAAGGCGAGGACAACCCCTCGCTCTGAAATTTTTTTTCCTCTGAATTCTGAGAGTTCATGAAAACTTACATTTTTCAAAAATTGTACTGTCAGTTCCATATACTGTAGATGTACTTTTTTCAATGGGGTCATAATTCCGCGGAATCTCAATTTCTGTTTAATCTGTGAGTAGAAAGTTAAGCGGATTTCTTAGACTGTTACTATAAGCCTTACATTTATATTAAGTACGCTTGGACAAATTTCCGCGTCAAATTTGTGACTGCGTACATAGCATAAATTAATACCACACGGAAAAATGTGCTTCTACAATTAATTTCAGTGAGACACAAATTTAGCAATATGTCCTTCAAAAATTGGTATTTTATTTTTATGGAGATGTAAATTCAGCAATTTTGAACTGCGCACTAAAAAAGTATAACAAATAAAATGCAATTAATTTTTAGCGGTATTCAATTACAGTACTGTCACCGCTAATGCCAAAAATAAATCCTCGCTAAAAATTCTGCTTATATGGTATAATCTTTTAGACATTTGTTTCCTTGATTTCATTGAAAAACTAACTGATAAATAATTTATATATTTCACATTTATTTTAAGTTATGTGGAAAAAAAAAGACGTTCACACATGATTTGAACTCTCTCCAAACCTGGAGGTTAGTTGCAAGATAGAAAGTGTTAACCTCAGAGCCACAACTTTGTTCTTGAGGTTAGTTTTTTGCAAAAATGGGTCAAACTCCAGGGTCAAGGTCAAAATGTCAATTATGTGTTACCCAAAGAATGGCATTGTCACAAGGAATACACAAGTGCAGTTTAAAAGCCATGTCTCCAATCAATCAAAAGTTATGGACAAGGTCAAGTTTTTTCTGGACAGACAGATGGCAAAAATTAGATACCCCTGAATCTCTATTATAAAATTAATTTTAGTAAATCAATAATTTTGAAGATTAATCTTGGGCTAAACTAAGAGACCATGCTTGATTTAACGTGTCATTATTTTTTCAGTCATATTTTGTCAAGTTTTAAGTCCGAACTCTACTTTTCTCTTCCTTTATTACAAATACAAACCAGTAGAGTTACAGTCTCGACAGAGACTTATGGTTTCAGTCATATTTTGGCAGAAAATAAAATTGATATAAACAGCTTTTGAAATATATTAGGTTTCCCTTGTGGCCCCCATCCTTTGTGTGCCAAGAAGGTAGAAATCTTTGACACTATACATCCAAAATAAAACCTGTATCTTCATCTCTTAGTCTTAGTAAAATAAATGGCACCAGTTTAAAGAGTTCAGAACACAAGAAAACACATACAAAGACTGATAAAATTTTTATTACAGATAATCTGTCAGATATTACTATAATATGAGCTAGATATAATGTATTGGCATTAAAATATATAACAAAACAAGCTATTGTAATGGTAGTTATACTTTATTTCTCTCTCTCTCTCGGACCTTGAAGTTTGAGAAATGTCCAGACAAACACTAACCGCTCCTAACTAATCTCTGATAAAACTCTGTGATAAAATAGACTCTGTGGTGTTCAATCTCTGTGAGACCTACTTCTATGTGTGTATTGCACCACCTTCATCACAAGTCAATCACAAGTCAGAAGGAAGCCACATTTATAATGAGACTCCACCCTGCATGGCACCACCAGAAACCCAACATACACCCAGGTACCACCTCAACATTTAAAATCAACCTCTTTCCTACTCATAAAACCACAATACTGCTAAAACTCCTCTTCAAGTAAAATGCTTACCATCTTCCAAGTTAGACACCGATAAAATTAATTTCTACAACAGCCATCAGCCTAATAAACACCAGGGATAAAACACAGCTAAACTAATCTAAAATCCACTACGATACTACATTTTAGCCTACTAAAACTATTCACACAGAATAAATACCAATAATTTAAGTGAATTTCGCGAGAAAATATACACAACAGATACACAGCACAAATAAAAGCCATTTAAAATCAGAATCCCAGCTAAACCACAGTAATCACACATACTTTCCAAGAACTTCTGATCATATGAAAAATCCAACATCAAAGACCTACTCATTGTTTTGTTGAAAGATTTTACAACTTGTTTTCATTCAGCAACTGATGACTTCCAAGGAGTATTCCAATTTAAAACAGATGCCTATAGTCAGATACACTTCACACAACTACAATCAACATTTCTACCCATAGATATACGTCTTAACTTCTCTTGCCAAAGATTATATGTCCAAAAATTAAACCTTTTTTTTTTTAAAAGACTAATGCACAACTGAACCAATTTCTCTCTACTTCTGCCTTCTCATTCTAACCATTCCACTCATTACTGATTGCTTGAAGCAAAGGTTTAAGATAAATAGATTTGGTTCTGTAAATAAATATATCTCTGTACATCTCGTATATCTCAATCTGTACACTGTACACAGTATGTACAATCATTATCATGACCCTTAAATAATCAGCACTGACTCAAAGCACTACGTAAAACAGGTTACTTTTATACATCATTCTCCATATTTACCAACCATTCACACATAACTCATCGTCTCTCCTCTTATACAAAAAAACTTGTGATTTAATTTCTTTTACAAATTTTGTTGACTCTAATTCTTTCTCTTTTCTAAGTATTATCTCTTCAAAAATTTTTTTCTTTTAACAGTTTTAATCATTTGTGTTGTTGTAAAGTAAAAATTCCAGTAGATAACTTTATTACAAAAAAATATGAAGACTCTTAATATAAATCACACATTTTACGGAAAAATAAATACAAATCCACATACTCTGTTATAGTTCACTTACACAAACATAAATATACACATCACACAATCACAGACACACAAAAAAATCAGATCAGCTGCACTCAAAAGTCATGATAGTGATAATAGGACTATACAGCGTAAGGTAACAAAGCGGGGGTCGTATTTACACATATAACTTGTATCAACATTCATTGACCCCTGTATAGAGCCCAACTTTTGTACAGCTTTGTACAGATGTAATAATACCTATTTACAATGGGGCAGTTACATCTGACAGTAGATAGAATAAGCACTTAAGGCCGCCAATGATATCATCGCACACATAATCAATATTTGGAATCATTAAATTCTTCTTAAGAGTGATGACACTCTTCTTTTTCGTTTTTTTTTTCTTCTGTATAAAGTCTTAAGTATACATAACAGATCGATAGTAAGAAAGAACAGATAACAGCTAAAATAGACAATAAAAAATAAAAACAAATAAAAAAACAAAAACAGTCAATAATGGAGACAGAACAATGGCAGCTGATGCATGATGGGATGGCTTAGATCTTGAGTGGACGGAATCCCGGACGATTGGTCTTCTCTCCGGCCCAGGACTTGGACTTGAGTCGGAAATGTCGCAGATCCTCGGAATGGTCCTTGTGTAGCATGGGCTTGTACGACTGAGGCTCACAGAGGGACTGAAAAATTAACAAGAAATAAATAAAACATATTGAAAAACATAAAAAAATGTAGCAATGCATATCTCTCATCTCAAGTGAAATGTTATCGTGTTTTCATCTCTCGAAAATGAAATGTTATTACAAGTACAAATGTTTTCATCTCCCCGAAAAAGAAATGTTATCAATGTACAAATGTATTTAAGAAGTCATTTTCAGTATAATCTACATTGATCAACATCTTTATTCATTTTTTCAGTCAGTTACTACTTTGCTGCAGTGAACCCTCACCTTCTGATTTTCGTAGAAGTTCTTGTAGCCGCCCTCCAGGATGTAGAGCTCTGGGTAGTGCAAGTGGGGGTAGCAGTCCTTGTTGGAGTCTCTGTCAAACTTCCTCAGAAATCGGCTCCTGAAATCATCAAAATATACATCTTAGTCATGGTTACAGACTTAAGTATCAATTCTATTTCTTGTAATTCAGTCCTATGGGTATAATACTGAAAAGATTTGAATGTACTGAGATATATGTTTCTAAGAAGGGTCTTTACTTTACATTTTCAATGCCCTATGAAGTGATTGTTGAAAGGGGGTTGCTTCTAAGAAGGGTCTTTTACTATAGATTTTTACTAAATTTAATTTCAATGCCCAATGAAGTGATTGTTGAAATGAAGGGGGGGGGGGGGGGGGGGGGGGGGGGGCGGCTTCATTAAGGCTGATATAAAAGACATACAGATTTAGTCCTCTCTTTGAGGAAATTCAAACTGGTTGCTTTTGGGGGATTAGAGACCTCATAAGATTGATATTATATGCTCACAGAATACAGATTTGGTATTTTCTCTAAGGAGAATTCACACTGTTTTAGGGCAATGGGGACCTCATTAAGGATTATAATATGCTTACAGGTTTTGTCCTCTACCTAACGAGACTTTGCTGTGATTGTTTTTTGGGATGATAGACTTACAGGTTAGGTCCTCTCTCTGATGAGAATTCGCAGTGGAAGATGAGGATGTTCCTTTTGTCGGGGTTCTGGGTCGTCACGGGGGTAGTCAGGAACTTCTCCAGGATCCCCTCCTTTGTGTAGATATTCTGGGCCCCCTACAAAAGCAAACCATATCTTATTAGTTTCAAAATTAAAACTTCAAATACTCATGAACATGAATATGTACATTGAAATTTATTGATTTGAAATTCTTAGAGAGTTTAATGAAGATTTTTAGCTTTATTTCAAAATGGCTGTCTTTGTCATGATAAAATTCAATGTAATCATTCTGTAAGTCAGGATAAAAATGAACATAAACACTCCTAATGAATTTCAGTTTATCGTACAAGATTTCAGATAATGATGAATTCTGATTAGTGTAACATACCCTAATGTGTCCACCCTCGTACTCATAAGGATAACGGCAGTCGATGACAATAGCCTGCTCAATCACGTGATCATACTCCCCAGTGATAACCTGCGACAGCTACAACACAGAATAAAACCTTGCTTATTTCTTTGTTTTTAAAAACTGTTTCTTCCATGAAAGTAAATTCAAACATAACCTAGGGATTATTGCTAAGGATTTTTTTAAAACTTTTTGAAGAAGTATACTAAAAATTCATCATTTAAACTTCGTCAGATTTAATTGTAAATTTTAGCTACTGGTTCCATTACTTACAGTTTCTGATGAAATGGCCTTCAGGTCCGAGTGTTTTCCTGGGAATGTAGGCAGACAGTAGGCCTGGAAACATAATTCAATTCACTTTAGTCTAATATATTTTAAATGTCAAATTCATAATTTACAATTAACAAAATTTTCATCTCCTCCAAAAATTTTTTTTTACTCATAATATCAACACAAATGAATGTTCTTGACTACATTTTAAATTGCCATTAATATATCTTGATGCAACAGTTGACATTTAAATCAAAAGTGATTTGCTTCTGTAATTTTGTATAACTAATCATTTTACTATTATCTGTAAATAATGTAGAAGACTTTAAACAACCAACAGAAATCCCTACCTTAGAGCAGTCTCCTATCAGGTCAGGCTCATCAGCGATTCTGTTGAGGGCAGATTTAATCATTGCCTCCGACTCTGAGTGACATCTGTGGAGCTTTGGTTTCAAGTTCTGTAAATAATAAATAAAATTACAGCACATCTTTCATCATGAGAATCCTATCATAATGTAATTCTATTTTATTTCAGTGATTTCTTATTTATTATATGTAAAAATTTTACAGTGTTGCACAATGGTTCTGTTTGTCTTATATCAATGTAAAGTTCATACAAATATTATTCACTTTAAAATCCTCCTCACTGGATCACTTGTATCTATCAGGATCGTTAACTGTTGACTTATTTACCTGCAGTGGACTGGTGATTTCCGTGGACACAGGCCGCCTCCTCTTGCTCTGGATGGGTGTGTTCTCGTCTCGGTCACGCTTGGATGATAATCGTCTACATTTGAAGTCGAGCGTGGACTGAGATCTCTGAAGCATTCGTCTCTGTGTACGCCGAATCTAAAAAGTTTATGATTGTTTCCATAAATGTTTATAATATATACTCATCACTAAAAACATGCAACAAAGAGGGAGAATGATCAATATTCTTGTCTTTAAGTATTCACTAGGTCTTGTATTTGTTTTACATGATTAAAGTCATGAATTGTTAATTACGTATGTCTGTTATATATTTTTGTTTTACATGATTAAAGTCATGTTAATTAAATTGTATATATTACGTACATTACATTTGATTTACATGCTATGATTGATGAATTGTTAATTAAGCATGTCTGTTATATATTTCACTGAGTCGTACATTACATTTGATTTACATGCTATGATTGATGAATTGTTAATTAAGTATGCCTGTTACAATGCTGGTCAGATAACTCTGATAATGACTTACAATGGGAGTTTCACTGTCTGTGTCATCTGTACAGAGGGCCGTGGAGTTGAGGACAGGTGCACTAAAAAGCTGACACAGGCTGCTGGGAACATTGTCGTTAATCTACAAAATCAATCCATAATTGTAATCAATGTATAAACAGTTTAACTTTGTAAACAGCAATACACAATGCACTTTCCATATAAAGAAAAATAAACTCAATTTAGTATAAGTTAACCACAAAGCAATTGACTTTCTAAATCTTATCCTTGTAAAGATATTGACAGAGCGTAATATATTTAACCCCTATGAGATGACGAGCGTTACCTCTGCCACTTCCTGGTCCATGAAGCTGTCCAGGAAGCCGTCGTCCATTTCCTTCACCTCCTCCTCCTCATCGTTCAGGAAGAGGTTGGTCTTCAGCGGACTGCTGGACTCGTCTTGTGGGGTCAGGGAGATACTGGTGAAATCCTACAACAAAAGTACACAATAAATGATGGGGTATCTGGAAACCAGATGACTTCTTTCTAATCGCTATTACATATTGAAAGATTGAGCAGGACCTAACGTTTTCTTGGGTTTTATTTAAATAGGTTTACTACCAAAAAAATAAGATATAACACTTGTAAGAAATGTGCTGTGATGTATCAGTTGTGTTCCTTTATTAGTGACAGTTTTGGACTACAGATGGCACTTCTACTCACCAGTCCTGTGGCTGAGGCCCTGCGTCTGGTGGGTTCGGGGCTGCTCTTTACGGGGGAGTACTTGAGGGGGGAGCAGGTGTCCTCGCTGATGATCTTCATCACCTTGTTACGCCTGGGTACACCTTTAGGGGCCACAAAGAGGAACTCATCATGTGAATCCTCCTCCTAAAAAACAAGTATGATGTCATTTATACATTCAGTGTCCGACAACTTAAATATAAATAGTTTGTAAACAAATTACAAGTAAACTTTAATTTGATAATCAGTCTATCTTTTTCCCTCTTAATGTTTTTGAAAGGACTGTGCTTTATCTCAGATTTGCTTTACTGTCTACAGAAATGAAGCATATTCAAGAAGAATCCATCACATCATATTTTTTTATGCAGACTTTTTTTGCTTCCTTACCCTGTCTGTGAGGCACACTCCACTGTCCTGGGAACTGTTCTCGTCCAGGTAAAACTTGGGTTTGCTGAGAGTCGACATCTGAGGAGATCTAGCGGAGGGAATGGGAGGGGACACCTCTGAGGGGCTCACCACTGGGGAGGCTGATGTTGTGGGTGGGGACACGGTACAGTCGTTCTCCTTGTCCATGAAATCTACAGGGCTGAGTCGCATCATGGGAAGCTATGAAACAAAACATTTGTACAATTAGAAAATTATTATACACTTTGACAAAATTTACAATAAGTGCCTCCTAAAGTAATGGCAGACTTGGGTGAATTTTCATCTCTCTACGTTACAATTGGGTCATACACTAAGAATGGTTGCAAATTTGTAAAATTCAGTATATTTGTAAAATTCAGTAAAATTTTAACTTTCCTTTCATTTATTGCATTACAGTATTCTTAACTAGTAAACATCTTGTTCAGTTACTAAAATGGAAATATGTATAATTTTATCAGAAATTCCCAATCATTTTAAGACAAATACAGTATTATACATTAAAGCTCCAGTGAGCCCTATATAATGTTGGATTCCTTGTCTACTTACAGGCATGGACTGGATTCTTCTGAAGGATATGGTCTTCTTCCTGCAATCAGTCAAAAATAATCCCTGAGATTCTAACTCTGACCAAAAACACTCATCACTTAAGTCCAGTGCCATCCTTACACATGTAACCCAAGTCAATCTTTTGGGAGAGTGAAGTTCTAAGTTTGTCAGGATTATAACAGTGTGAGAGATCACAATGTCCCAACACCCAAAGAGCTGAGCTATATATCATACAAATCTCAACACTTCCTATCAATTAGAAGTACTAGAGATGCATCTTAATTGATTTGTAAGTGGCTAATTGGGAGACTTTTCTCACCATCTTCACCTGGCCAGGTAACAATGCTCAGGTGGGAATAATTTGTGGTCACTGTACAAACACCTGAGAGGGCCCTAACAGGTAAGGTGCTCAGGAGTCATTTAGAACTCTCCATTACACTTCTATATTCCTCTAAGTGTTCTCATTAACACCTATCACAACTGGACAGATTAGTAAAAATCATAATTACACATCCAAATAGTTCCCAGGGCCATTAGATGGATTAACATACAACTATTAGTGATGAGAACTTTACAATAGATTAACCTCAACAAGATTATTACAAGATAATTTTTTTTTTCTAAAATGATAAAGTGAACTTCTTAATGAACTTTGATATGTCCCTCAGCAAAACTCTAGGTGTAAAATCAGTTTTCCCCTACAGTACTCAACTTCATTTTATGACATTGATTTTCAATATTTTTCAGCAAGAAAGAGACAAAAATAACCAAAAAGAATTCCCCCTTAGTGAATTTTACATCATTCTTTTTATGATCTACTGTGAAAAAAATCATAAAACACAAAAGAATATTAACAGCTTGTACCAGATAAATTCACTATCATTGGCTTGGACCACAAACTAATAAATTCATAATACCCCTTTATTCTTAAAATACCCATGTATGTGACACACTTTATTCCTTGTCACATTCTGATTTGTAAGAATCATACAGCTTAACTTTTACATTATTTCTACCATTCATAGACTAGGACCTCTACACAAGCACATTTTGAATTATATGCCAGTTCTTTTTCTGAAATGCCCATGGATTATTTTATATGGTCTGAGAACAATAAGAATTATTAGAAATTTTTTAAAAAGTCCAAAGCTAAGATATTACACAACAAAGGCCCAAAATTTCTTTTTAATCCGTCTTTCATTAAACACGGTTACTTATAAATATCTACATGCATCTGTATGAAAGTAAAAATAAATGTTTTATCTGATGTAATATAAAACCACAAGAGTTGACATACCAATCAGTTTTCAGTAAATCAAAAGAAGCCATAATATTATAACAAGTACATTAGCATTATTATTACAGTAATACCGGTACATTTATTCATTTTTTTATTCACAGAAAATAAATTTGAAGTAAATTTGATAAATATGCCAACTCTTGTAGCGAATTTCAAAGTTGACCTGCAATTTATCAACATAAAAATATAGTAACTATATTAAAAATCAAACTTTTATCTACAGGTATAGCTATAAAGCCCATTAACTTAACAAGGACAGAATGAAAATGAAAATGATGGAGAGAAAGGCACATCACCAGGATCCCTATTTGCCCTGAATATGTATGGTGGAAGCATTGCAAATTTATTTTTCTATCAATTGGGAATGATACCCATACTTAATATTCAGTTGAGAAAAATAACATCAAAGTATAATGGATACTTTCAATTTCCTCCATGGAAGAGTTATAGTTCCTAGTGCTCTCTTTTGTGAAAGTTGGAGAATAGAAAAAAATCTCCTAAATTTTACTTGCATCTGAACCATCCCTTAACGCCTCCTCATATTACTTTTGTCTGCATAAAGGATCATATAAATCTTCAAATATTATAATTAACAAGATATTATAACCCCCCTGAACAAGAGGCACAACTTTGTCCAAAATTACTTGATTGTATCCAAAAGAGAACATGACCTAGTAGATATTTTTATGATAAATGCATGGATATCAAGTTTTGTTAAGGAATTATCCTAAGTTGGTTATGGATTTGCTGCAAAAACTGTAACCTGTTCATTCAGTTATCAAGAAAAATCAGTCGGTTCAAAATCTGGAGCTAGTCTGAAAGTGTCCATCCTTTAAAGGAAGAGTAATCATATAAGGCTAAATAATTACAGAGTTACACCAAAAACAATACTCTGGATACTCATCTGAGAATGTAAGTCAGATTAAGCATCTAAAGCAAGTCTGAATGTATCCATCCCATAAAACATTATCCAAGCTATCAAAATAGGTGAAAATATGGCTAAAACTTGCTGCCTCATAAAATTGTGTCATAGATCAGATCCAGTATAAGAAGCAAGTCTGTTAGTGTCCATCCCTAGACACATCATACATACATTATAGACCCTTTTCCTATGACAAATTTTGCCTAAAAGTTATTCCCCTTAGCTGCCATCTTGTAGGGCAAAGTAGTGAATTTACCTCTTTGAGCAACCAACTTTTAACATGCATGCGAGAAATATATGGGGGGAAATATTTACAATCTTAAAATTATGAATTAATAGAGGCTTTAACAAATGTATATTCATTAGAAAAAGTACGTAAGGGTTGCCCGCAACCCTGTGTCTCGCCTGCTGTCGCTGTGGTTAGTAAGAAATGATTGTCTGATAAACTGAAGCATTTATTGACATTTCAGAAGGAATAACTCAAAAATACAATAATAAAGAAATGGAACAGCTGACTTAATATCTAATCCCTTGGCGATTATATTGGCATTTATATATATATACATATACCCTGTAAATTCACAAATTATTGTGATGTTTTTATTATTGTGAATATTGCAACGTGTTATGAGTCGCAATAATTTGAACTTGCATTTTGAAATCAAATCCACTGTATATGTATCAAGTCATTCATGCAGAAAATGTAGGTGAAGATTACCTAATTATGGTACTGATATTGTTGGTTACCCATGATGTGTAGACTGACAAATTATCATGCCACTATAAGTTATAGTTGCTGAGATATGGACCTCCACCATAAATTTATATATACGGAAAAATTATCAAGATGACCTAATTCTGGTACAGGCGTTTGTTACCCATGATGTATCCACTGACAAATTATCATGCCACTATAAGTTATAGTTTGAGATATGGACCTCCACCATAAATTTATGCAAAGTCACTCATGCGGAAAAATGTAGGTCAAGATGACCTAATTCTGGTACAGGCGTTTGTGGTTACCCATGATGTATCCACTGACTAACTATCATGCCACTATAAGTTATAGTTGCTGAAATATGAACCTCCATTATCAATTTAACCAAAGTCATTCATGCAGAAAAATGTAGGTCAAAATGACCTAATTCTGGTACTGATGTTGTTGGTTACTTATAACCTGTACAATGACAAATCATCATGCCATTATAAGTTATAGATGCTGAGATATGGACCTCCACCAAAAATTTAACCAAAGTCACTCATGCGGAAAAATGTAGGTCAAGATGACCTAATTCTGGTACAGGCGTTTGTGGTTACCCATGATGTATCCACTGACTAATTATCATAACCCTATAACTTATAGTTGCTGGAATATAGGTCTTCACCATAAATTATATTAAGTCCAACTTAAGGAAAAAATCGGAAAAATTTGAATTTTTTTTTTCAAAATCATACTTGGGATATAAATTTTTATCCATAGAATATTGTGTCCAAATTTAACTGAATAAAATTTGAGAAAATTGTTTATAAAACTTTGACATTTGGGTTAACCAAAAGTTGGACGCCGACGACGACGACGACGGAATCTATGGTCGCTATGTCTCGCTTCGCGACATTCGTCGCAGGCGAGACAAAAATAGCGTTATCTTTACCTCAGTAACCAGTATAACAATTGAACTTGGTTGAATAAGGGATCTGGGAACGTTTCCCATCAATATGGCAGCTAAGGGGAATAACTCCTAGGCAAAATATGTCATAGGAAAAGGGTCTATGGTTACTTGGGAATATGCTTGCTCCTAAAACTATGACCAGGAAAAAGACACTAACACCAAAGCCAACACTGGGGGTATAGCATAAGCTCAGCTCGACTTTGTCAAGGTGATCTAAAAATTATTCAGTCTCACTGCATTCCATGTGATCATCATGTACTCATGTTAACTGAAGCAAATCTTGCTGGAAAGTATACACTATAACCATACAACAGAAACAGAGCTGCACTGAGCAACAACACTCAGGAATCTGACTGAAATACGATTGAATCTGACAGAATATTACTTGTGAAATCCAACTAGATCCACTAACCGAAAGAAGGACAACAACAAAAATAGTAAATGAATTTATTTCTTCAACATGTTCAATACACTTGATTGCAATACTGGTTGTGTTGAGAGTAAAGAATTTCCAAGCAAAAATAAGAGTGGGAGATTTATTTGTAAATTTCCTTGAACAAAGCAGCAAGAAGATGAGAATGACAATATTTTGTCTTTTTACCAAATTGGATGGTCTTGGCGCACTGAAATTTTAAAGGGTGAAATACTTTTGTCCGGGTTTTACTTTTTGTCAAGACTTTTGTTGTGTTTTTTCTACAGCTGTTACAATAGTTGCTGACTATAGAAAATTGTCACTAAAGTCATCAAATCAACGACAATACACAGAAAAGTCTGAAAAGTCTCTAATTTTTTACAAAATATATTTTTAAAGCAAATTACTGGTATTTGTACTGCGGATTCAGCAATATTTGTGGGCATCAATTTTCATGGATAAAGTAAAGATAACTTTTTGGAGGATAATTTATGTAAATTTGTGGATAATGACCATACAAAAATAAACAAGAGGCCCATGGGCTTTATAGGCCACCTGAATATCATGCAACAACTTTCCAACAAACGAATTTGGTTCTTGTTTTAAACAGAAGACACAAAATTTACAATTTTGAATGAGGCACAATTGCTTATCATAACTATACACTTAGCATGCTTAAATTGTTTTCTTAATACCCAAAGATAGATCAGAGTAACAAAGAGAAAATGCATTTACA